TTGACACTTGGCTCGATCGAAGAATAAAGGAAAAAGTTACCGTTCGTGGAAAAGCGCGATTGATCCGCGCGACGATATCCGGTACGCTTGCACACCGGATATCGCGTGTCTGAATCCGGAAGACGGTCTCGAGTTGGCTGGCTTATTCGATGAACCGATATTTAACACTTCGACTTCGATTTAAAAAGATAAAATAGAAAACGCGAACCGTGATCGAGGGAAAAAATGAAACTGGACAAAGGAAAAAAAGAAAAGGGACGGAAAGTTGACGTCAGTAGCGTACGCAAGCGTTTAATCCGACGCGATAGAGGTTCGCTGCGATGCGAGAGGCTTCTCCATTCGAATCAATACGACACACGCACACCGGGCTTCTATATATCTGCTGTATTAAACGCGCCACGTCGCATTATCCTCGAATCTCAGCTACAGGGAAAAGTTCGAGAGTATCGGCCAGGGAACGATATTCAAAAGTGCGCTATTTCGTATCCGTTCAGACGCGTCTTGCAATGAATCAACGAGAAAGGGAATCGTTTGAGAACTTTTTTGCCTAATTTTTCGTCGAGAATCGCGATGAAAATGACAACGAAGAGTGATAGAGTGAGAGAAAACGCGGGGATAATGATAAAAAATGATTACTACACAAATTGGACGTTATGACGTTCTTTCTCCGGGTAAAATAAAATATAGTGTAAATTTATTTTAGTTATACCGAAAGTTCTCTGTAGAGTAGCCGTACAACTCATCCTATGATTTATATAGCAAATATTCGTCTTGTTGTTTCACGGTTGCAAGGGATGAAACAAAGGGAATTAGGAAGACAAAAGTGACTGCTCCGGCAGGAAGTAGAATTGTTTATGAGGGTTACTCCTTTCTACGCGATTTTCCTACATATTTACACAAAATATCGTTCCTGGCTGGCATATTTTTTAGGCAACTGAAAACAAGCGATCTTAATTTGATTAATCAAAAAAGGTAAAATTGTTTTTTAACCGACCTCCACGGTATTCAAAGCGTTCATAAAGAGGTAATGTCATTTCCTAGTACACTGTCGTGTCACTAGGTTAAAGTAACAATTTCTAATGCTTCAAATTTCAATAGCACAGTATTAATATCTGAGAACTTTTGTTACCCTATCGATATCGCTGCGTCTGCTATCGTTCGAATGTAATCTCTCCCAATTACGTGGCGATTAATGCCGAAATGTGTAAGGAGGTTAAATAACATTGAAACTGCGATCGGTGCAACCACAGGATCGTGGCTGACAGCCAAACGGAAGGTCGGAAGTGGTCCAATCTCCGAATCGATCTGAGGAGACTCCTTTTCCATTTCCAGGACATTTGCAAGAGCATCGACGTTATGAGAAGGAGAGGGACAGACGGAACACTTTACAGAACGGGCCAGACAAGAGCTACTTCCGGTTAGCTGGATAGAACGTCCGGGCTTTCCTATTGAAGAGCTTTCGATAGTTCGTCGAGCAATCGTATCTTCCATTCCATCTCCGTTAAATTTTCTCCTATGTTTCTGTCTTTCTAATCTGTTATGTTTCTTCTCCTCTTTCTTCTAATAATATACAGCTACCTTTATAAACCTTCATTTACTCTCCTTTCTTTATATTTATTTTCATTCATAGTTTATCGTTCACAAGTAAAAATGATATAAATATTCGTTGCAGTGTTCGGTAAAATTAATTGGTAAAACAATGTCCTTTCTTCGAAAGCTATCAGGGGTTTAATGATGGGGCGAAATTCCCTTTTCGGGATAAAGGGCAATCTTGTTGTCCCCGGGACTTTAATCGGGAAAATGGGAGCCGAAGATAATCTTTCGGTATCATCAAGCGAATTGCAGCTATCTCTGATAAGAGCTTTCAAGGAATCATTCCGAGTGGCTGTTCTTTACTTTGATCATGAAAGATCTTTCTCTCTTTCAACGATCTCGTATCAAATTATACGACACTGTCTAATTTCCCTACTTCCGAATGGCTCTCGTCCAAATTTTAACGTACATTCCTGTTCAAAAGTTTCGAATAATTTTCAATCTTCTGATTTTCGATCAGAATCATAGGGTTATTTGTAAAGCGATAGAAGAGATAGCGTTTTCCGATAGTCGATCGTTGTTAAGTAGAGTTAATCGTTTCGCTTCATTAAACGGAGGCGTAGAATCGAAGGTATTTTAACCGAGTACACCGAATATTCCAGTGAATCCACCGACTGACAATGAATGGCACGAAATCACCGAGTCGAAGCGAACAGGGGTTTGGCATTATGCGGTTTGTAACTGACTGGTAGGGTGCGCGTGTGCCGTGTGACAAAATTCATAGAGAAAATTTCTGTACCGTGGATCTCTGTACGTGACGCAATGGAAAATTAAATTCGAAACTGTTCGTTGTTTTATTTCCTGTGTAGGTATCAGTTTTCTGTTATTCCCAACGGCTACTACACAAAGAAGTGGTAGAACTCTGCCTGACCTTTTTCGAGTGCAACGAATCCATACTGTGGTTGATTCGATTTCTGCTTTTTTATTCTTCTCTTTCCTTCTTTTTTTTCCAGCGCTCGTTTGTAACCTATCGATGGTGCTTGTTGCATCAATTGTTATTTAAAACACTCGAAATTCTGTTTGAGTGGCAACAAACAGAGTGCAACGACGCTTGAAAATTATTCAAATCTTTAGGATATTAAATGCTGAACCTCGGTCAAATTGTACTTGTTACAATTTAATCTGTTCGTTAGCCATGAAAAACTTTTCTCTAGTGAATTTCACTCAGATATGATAATCAGTTTCAAGTAAGACAACTAAACCGCGTAAAGAAATGAATTCTTCATGAACTTGATTAGAAAAGTTTCTGAATTGATTAGCAATATCTGAAGACCAAATGCAAGAAAGTAAACGCAGCGGAAAATTTTTCTCTCGCGTTCAACGAGAATTTCCCGAACGATAAATCAAGAGAAAAAGAATTCGTTCAAATGTTGAACGTACATTAAGAGAAGAAAAATAACGAAATCATAAAAAGTCTGATGGTGTAGATTAAACAGAACGGGAGATTGTGATACATAGGCTGGTGTCGCGCTACGCAACACGATAATTAAAATATCGTTGTCATACGAACGGATCGTGTAGGGGAGGCACGGGGAAATGGACGTTACGCTTGCAGATTTAGCGAATGATCGTGAAACACCATAAATTAATGAGTCGCAGACACCGAGGGAAGGAAATGCGTGTACGGTCCGTTGACTAATACGTACGTTCCTAATACTCGTTGGCAGCGGGATGTATTTACGAGTGTATCGCCGTGAATCTGCCGATTTCAACCCTCGTCCCTGCCCCTCAAGGGACGGCCACCCCTGTGCGTGTGTACCCCTAATTAATTAACCGAATCGGACGTTTCCATGCAGCCCCGCGTTTAATGTCACCGAATCTACAAAAAATTCGGCTAATTTATCGATACCTCATCGCACCTTTTAAATCGATCACATTCTGTTCATCAAACACGAAACAATAATCATTTGTTTGTTTAATCCCCGTCCCCGAATGTAACAAGTTTCTATAAACTCACACGTTATTGCAGTGATAATAATTTCTAATTATGATAATATTTAAAAGATCTTCTGTTTCTATCAAATTTTCAATTTTCACTCAGTCATCATTCTTCAGCTTTTGAATTCCAAATTTTAAATCGCCTATCAGCTCAACCCTTCATTCACGAAAAAAAATAATATGCAAAATTTCATTCAGAGGGAATCAGAAACGATCGTGTAGGTTGAGAGATCATCGTCGCTCGTAACAACGTCGAAGAATTAATCGAAGCGAATAAATCGAGCCGCGTGTCCACGAGTCGTTGACCAGTCTGCATGGTAGCCGGTATTTACGACTTAGCCCCCGAATTCATCGTCGCAGGTTCAACGATTGCGACCTCGTTAACAGAACGGTGAGATATCGACGTCGAGGCGTGTCGGTGGGCAGGATCAGCTTCGCTAATTTCCACCATCGACAAATTATTCGCCGCTGTTAATGGGACACGCGCCAACATTAAACCCAATGTCTGGGCTGGATCCACTCTACGCGATCTACGGAGTGGATTAATTAAAGGAAATCGATCGGGGGTGTCGATAAGATATAACCTGGCCACAATGGGGATCGCCTGTTTTATTAGACCATTCTTCTGACGCTACTGTTGATCTTGCATCGAGATTATTTTAACAGCGATATACTGCTGCCGATACTGTTAGGTATATTATCTTCGACGAGGTGTTACGAATATTCGAACGTATTATCCGACGAAAATCAATGGCGATATTCATTTTTCCAACCCCTTGTACGCCGTGGAAAATTAACAATTGCTCGTAAAATATATTTTAAAATAGTAGGTATTTTATATTTTCTATGGTCACGATTTATAAGACACTTTGAATGTTTATTCCAGGTGCACTGGATTTCCATTGTGCGGTAGAATTATTTTTTACCCCGTCCACTGTTGGCTTACGTTCAATTGCACGATGTACAGGATTTTGTATTGACCCAGATATTATATACGTGAAATCAATGTATTAACCGTGCTGCACAAGCCTCGTGTTATGCAATGCGAAACCTTGATTCCATATAGAAAAATTTTCTTCTCTCTTTAGTTTTCATGCAATTAAAGTTTCGTCGTTATTTTTACTGTTACACGGCGTGAGAAAGAAGAAAATATTGAAAGATCGAGAGCAAACTTTCGTCGAATGAATTAATATTGACACGGTGCAAACACTTGTATTTAATGTTAATCTTGAACTGTGCATCAGTGTTTGATCAATATTTATGCGATCTTAAGTCAACGTTTGTTCCTGTTCATATTTCCGGTCAGAAGCAACATTCGATGGATTAATGATCGAAGAAACGCGCAAACACTGCAGCTTTCGATATTTTATGTATGATTTCTAATAAAAAAAATGAAAAAATTATTTTCTTTAGAAATAGATTCTTTGCAAAAATGAATCTTTTCTTCCAATTTGCTTCGTTGATGTTTCTTGGATTAATATTTTCATTTTCGTTTCAAAACTCTACATAGCCCAAGATGTATTTTCTCAGTAAATTCTTGGAATAACTCAACCGTTAACAGGTGCACTTAATACCAAGGTTTTCTTTAACAATGTATCACTGCGGCGTTTTTTTAAATTATACTGCAATGTTAATTACACGTGATGTTTAATAGCATCCAATCGATCTGTATCACATTATATCGTGCAGAACTACAGCTGATCAAACGTGTACTTGTTTGTGTTACACGGTATACTGAATACACTGAATATATTACTAGAGGTATAGGATAACACGTGTTTTGATAATCATATCACATCCTTCTAATTTTTCTTCCGTAAATATTTTTACGAAGAAGGACGTAAGAAATGAAATTTCCATTGAAATTCATTTCTAGAGTGAGCTAAACAGATAATTTTTAATATAACGAATATCAATTTCGAGTAACGCGTTATTTGCAGAATCTTCATCGCGGAACTTCTGTTTTACAGCCGTTTCAATGGCTAGGAATACCGAATTTCTGAACGGGAACGAAGAATCTCGGATGGAAGTAACAACGGCGTCGTTGACACAAATCGTCGCCAAGTGTCATCGAACACTCGGAAAAGTTCTGCTAATACCAGACCGTTCGATGCTGTGGCAAAGCAGTTCGCGAACAATTCCGCACGGATATTTCTGAATACACAAGTGATACGGTGAAACGAGCGGGAACTTCTCCCTGTCCTCGAAACGACCATCGACCATAGAGAAATTTTAATTCGAACCGAAACAGTTTAGGAAACTACACCGGGAAACGTCCGCGTTCCAAAGCATCTTTTGTTCGATAAAAGGAAAAATGGCACGCTACCACAATTTTATGCAATTCGGAAGATTGTAAAGGAACTGAACGCTTGAAATAAAAATGAAAATGAAAATCAAGAATATCGCTTTACCTATTTCTTGGGATTACAACGAACGTATCTGACCATCGAAAACACGAATGGAGGAAACTATAAATTTCAGAGATAAAACCTAAATGTATCAGCAACGAGGAATATATTAAAACGAGATATGTACACGTTGTAGAGGCTTGTCACGAGAAGCACGCTCGAGAGAATTCGAGCGGCGTGCGTTAACAAAGAAAATGATTAATCGTAACGAGTGCAACGTCGGTACGGTTGCACGTAAAATAATTGAGAATTTTTGCCGAGTATAGCCTTCCGCCTTGAAAACACTGATAAGCCTCGGTAGAAGAGTATTTCGTCAACGATACCGAGCGAAACGGCATGCCGGCTACGGTCAAAGGGCAATAAAGAATCGAACGAATCGTGTAGAATGCTGCAATCTCGCGCGATCGTGAAATCATGCTCGCCAAAGTCAGGCCGAATTAGACGTTTATACGTTTTCATCTGGCGAAAAAGCCCTCCCGGCTTGTTTCATGCATGTTGCATGAATCCAGACTTGCCCGAAACACCGAACCTACGTGTGTAACATGTATAATTTATATCGTCGATCATGCTCAATCGTGCGATGTTTATTGCAGCTTGTCCGTTCGTTCGCCAAAGCAAAAAGGTCAAGATGTATTTTATTTTTAGCGAATTGATAGGATGACACTTTGGAGTTTGTATTTTAACGAAACAATAGAACAAAGCCTAGAAAATCTACAATCAATTTATATATTTTCATACAATTCAAGTTACTTTTGTTGAAGAACCTCGATCCACGTTCGTCCATCAATTTTCCAGCGGTATAGTTACCCTTGACCATCCCTCTTAAACATTTCATTTCCTGATAAATGCATTCAAATAATTCTTTGGTCCTTCCCTCGTATTTACTCGTTATCTCCGAGGTAACTTAGCATCTCGATAAACATAACAACACGGCCTTTACAATGAACCCGGAAATTTGCATAAAGCCATCTGTCCTCTGTTCATTTGCTTCCCAGTTCCTGCTCAAAGGGAATTTATCGTTCGAGAAAAGGGACAGAGGCTCGCGAGACGAATCCACTCGATTTAAATGAATCAACATCGAGAAGAGCAACGTCGACGAAATTCCCTGCTTCGGTATCCACCTCTATTCGGTTCCATCATTTAATTATCCCACCGGAGAGGACCTAACCTTGTCATTAAGAAATCGAACGAGTGACCACCATGAAAATTGCCTGATCCTCCTTTTTCTTTCCTCCTCTACGATTCTACAGTAACCAAAGGTCTTTGTCCATTGTAAACGAGATCTTTTCCAAGTACGCCTCGTGAAAGCGGGTCAAAGAGCGGCAAAGAACTCGTCGCTCATGTCCTTAATCCTATTATTGGATTTTTCAGAACGTCCCGTTACCATTCCTCCCTTCTTTCCTTTTTTTCGTCTTCTTCTTCTTTTTCTTCTTCATTCTCTTTTATACAGACATCTACGTACTCCCCTCGTCTCTTTCTTTCCCTCATTTTCCTCTCCTCGTTCCCTGTCCCGATAGCCGATAAACGCTTCAAGCTGTTTACATCGGTCGCAACAACTGCAGCCGAACAAACTCTCTTTTCACCGATAACACGTCCGATGATTTATGAACGCTGATAATGGCCACTGTATAATGCGATGCACTGCGAGGCCAGTGTCTTGTAAACCCGCTTGTTATCGGCCAGAGGACATCTGGACAGTGATCGACCAAACGTTCGAATCACGTGCTAACAAGAATGTAAATTCGAGTATTACGTGGCCAAACGAGGGTAATGTTCAATCTTTATCAACGCGTACGATGAAAAATATTCGTCAGGTTGATTCGAAGGGATCGTGGAAACTAATAAGAATAGGGTGCTTTATGAAGTGAGAAATTTCGTTAATTATATCCAACTACTTGTCTTGAATTTAATATCATTGTTGGCAGTGTATTTTTGAATAAACGGACCTTCGATCTCCTTGTTTCAGGTGGTTTCCTCGGCGACATAGCTTTGCCGAACATCAAATACGAAACAGAATGGCGACAGCAGAAGCTGAACAAAAGTTATCTCGAAGAATTGGAGAAGTATCGAGACGAGGTACTGAAAGAGGGTCTCCAGGTTGAAGAAGAGGGTCTTACAGGTAAAAAAGATTCTTCTCTTTTTCTCGTACGAAGATGCACCCTATTTTAGATTCTATCTCGTCGTGGCTCGGATGTGTGTGTGTGTGCTAGCGACAGGTGTCGTTTCAGAGATCCTTCAATTTAAAAATGAGCACGACGCTAACGAGCCGCATCAGGAGAACGAGGAGATCGTGGCTTCTCAAGAGAAATCCGAACCAATTATGGTGGACCGGAATCAATACAGCATGGACGGCGAGCTCGAGGGTGGATTCAGTTTTAAAGCGAGGAACGACGATGCCAGGCCTGGTGTCAGGGACGAAGGAGTCGAATTCAGGTAGTACGAAAGTTTCCTACGAAAATTACTACCACGATTTTTAGTATCACGATTAGACCGCGGCTGTTTATCTACGCAACGTACTGGAAAATTGAGAGAAAAAAAAGTGGTAAAATTGGAAAAGTAATTAAAATCGTAAAAACGAGTACTCATTTTGCGGAATGTTTCTTGAAACGCGACCTAATTTATAAATTAATTCGAGCTTGATATTTTCAACTTTATACGACGTAGGAAGTATCGAACAAATAATGACAACAATGATAAAATTTCTCTCGAAAGCCACGAAAAGATGTTTTCATGCGTGAACTAATTAAAAGCACTAAGGTGATTTCACTGTCTGCGATGTTAATTAAAAACGAATGATAACTTGCACTGTGCGTGTTTCGTATTTTCCACTGAATTTTAAAGCATTCTTGAACGTTTATCATGAAAATATATTCAGTTTGTAAAAGTAACGAATTGAAAAAATAAACAAACCAAAGATAGAATATAAATTAGTATATCAAATTACTTTTCGTCTCTATAAAGGATATCAGAATTTCTATAATTTGAAATGAGAAATCCGAAGTCGGTCGCTTCGACGAGCTTCGTTATTCTAACGTTAATTAATTGAATTTTGAAACGAATTTCTAGATATCTGAAAGATTAAAGCTTTTAGATTTCTAAGCGAATATAGTTATTTAATGTTCATTCAAAGGATTATAAATTTTGAAATGAATCTGAAAATTGCAGATTGGAATCGACGACTCCTGCAACGAAAAAGAGGCACTCTGCTCGAAAACAGAACCACGATGTTTCGCAGACAGCATCGAACGTGAACGCGACGAAATCGAAACAGTCGTTTTTGAGAACATCTCACGAACTCGATAACTTTTCCACGAGCACGGATAGCACCAATCAAATGAAAGACGCGAATATGAAGAATATCGAGGAAGTATTCACTGTTCAACCGGAAAACAGCACGCAAAACGTATCGAAGAGACGACATCGACGTCATCATCGTAGAAGGTATGATTGAAGCGGTACTTTTAGTTTCTAATATCCGCGATATTGAACAATCAAAAAAGCCCGGATGCGAGGAAAATGAAAATTTAAAGACACACAGTTCTGGGAAATAATAGTAACCCGTGCAAGGAAAACAAGAAACTCATCCGAATTCGATTGCGCATAAAACAATGGAAACAATTCCACGGAACAAAACACATTTATCAAAGGAAATTATTGTCAGGTCAATGGTTTAGAAATTTATAGTACTTGTTAGACTTTCCAGGAGATATTAATGCTTGATGAATTTGTAAGAAAGAATCGGATAAATTTCAATTCATTAAATCACAAACCTGTACAACATTTACTTAATCAACTGAACTATTTGACAATAAAAATACAATTTACTTACAACATTTAATAATACGAAGGTTTTCATTTTACTTTCTATAAAAGAGAATGATTGACCCAGTTTAGCAAGTGGTCTTTAACGTCCAACATTCATTCAGAAATTGAAAAAAAAAAAAAAAAAAGCATTCGATATCCAATGGAGTAGGTTGCTGCTGGCTTCGATAATAGAGTTCGCTGCTTTAACTCGCACCTTCCCTATCATCAACAATTTTCCGCTGCTAGAGCTACTATGCCAATAACAATGGCCGTCACCGTAAACCTAGAAAATGGGAACCGATACTGCCGGTCGGGCATTTTCAGCCCTTAAACTGCCAATAACCTGTCAGCATCGGCACTAGTGTCTCTGATCGGTCGTACTTGTGTTTGTGTATAGATTATGTACGTCTCTGATGAAAAGCAATGGGGGATGAAATTCACAAAGGGTGAAACAGGCACTCGAGAAAATCTATTCGTGAAAATCATTTTTCGTACCCAAATCAATTTTATATTCAAGATACGTCGTTGGAATTTCATAGAAAATGATCGAATACGTTTAAATTAGCCATGGGAATTAGCTGATCTAATTTTCTCGTCAATCTTCCTGACATCGGGCTCGATAGTCAGCAGGTTTGGTCAGGGCTCTTTCGGTTCCATTTCTCGTTTGAAATAGGCTTACGAAAGCGTTTGTTTATAGCCTGTATCCGACACCCGTGAAACACGATCGCACTGTGATTCGCCAATGAAGCTCCAGAGAATTCTGGAGAGGATCAAGCCGGACTTGATACCTTTGACGTGGTTAAGCCTCGTATCCGCAGAAATTTCTACCAGCCTACATCTCTATACGTGTACGCCTCTCCGCCATCGACCACACTTTAAACGAAACGAAACTGGGTTTTCACATTTTCCATGACACATTATCAATTCCCTAATATTTTTATCTATCCTATGTTAATTACAATTTGGCTCTGAAATATAATTTCTTTCTGATATACTAAAGACTAAATCGGCAAACATTTTCCAAGTAGTTTAAAAAAGAAGAGTAAAGATTCAATTACTTTTGCCGTTGGTTCAATCGAACAAGTAATAACGTCGAACGGGAAGAAATTCCAATTAAGAAAAACGAGCAGAAACGCATTAATTACCGAGCGATAAGAAAGTTTTTGAGGGCCGCTTTTTTCCGTTGGCCCTCGAGCGAGGAACAGATCCTCTGGCAGTTGTAAATTTCAGTCGTCTTCGAGTATATCGGATAGAAAGGACGGGCAAGACGCATTAATTTCACCGTGAGTCCAATCTAATCGGGGCTTAAGCGTTTTTCATTGAAGAGATCCGTGAAGGTGATCGTGGCCACGAGGGGTAGCCCTCGTCCTATCGATCTTTTTCTCTCCGTCTCGATTGCTCCCTGTTCTCGTTTCAACTTGTTCGAGAATGAAGAGGCAAAAAGTGGCGCGCACAGAGAGGCACGAAACGACGGAGAAGCCATGGGAAAAAAGAAAAAAATTGTTCGAACGTAGAAAGACGAGAGGAGAGTGATTTATCGGGATCGGCCGAGGGAAAAATTTCGTATTCAGCGAATACGTCGTTCGATCGCTAGTGGATCGGTTCCCGTAACTCATCATTTTCCGCTGTCCTTCGTGATTTCCGTTCTGCAATCCCTATCTTCCGTTCAGTTGTATCTCCCCGAGGAGAAGGATCTATTTTCTATCCTGCCTTCCAGATTATGCTTGTTGCTTGTTACGCTCGGACACACGGAATAAATCGTTTGAAATTTTGAAAAAATACACCATGCATCGAGTGTCACCAAAGGGAAAAGCGTACGCGAGAAGAACGATAAGATTGAACGAACGAGCGGGATGGGAGAAAATAGAGGATTCCGCGAGCCTAGCCGTGTTTTTATTAAGGATGATTGATGAGAAATCACGAATTCGTCGAATTCCAGCGAGCCGGTGGATTATTTCGGTATGGCGAGGACACTGATATATTATATTGTGGTTTATTGCTTGCTGGTTAGAGGAGACGATAGCGGTGCTCGCTCGTTACGGGGTGGAGATGGATCGACATTCGAAGGGGTGGTAACTAGCGCACGTCAAAGCTAATAGAATGATCTATGCGTCTCGCGATCGTTTGATTGAAATCCACGTCGTGCTGGCCGATGGAACCGAAAGCCATTCTCTGAATGCCGTGGCAAAGAGGAAGGATGACATTTTGAAAAGGGTGTGCAGCTGAGTCGCATGACTTTGCAAATGAATCCAACACCCCTACCAGATAGAATCGGCAGGGATTCTGGTGGTACGAACGAATGCAAATAGCGATTGTCAAATATTTATCAACTTTTTCAATATTACAATGAAAAGTTAATTCCGAAAGATTTTAATTGATATAAATAATTTTCTTTCGTAAGAGCTTTCCTTTTACCGTAAAAGTACTATAGCTATTATTGACTTTGTTACCAGGGGTAGAACCTATTTAAACCTTCGAACCGCGAAAGCTGGGAAGTTTCGACATAGGGATTTAATGGATTCCGAGATTAGAGTGAATCGCCCGATTATCGTTACGTTTTATATCCGGAACTGCATTTGCGGTAACCCCCTACAAAATCGCCGCAATCGAAACAACTGTGTTTGGGTTTTGTTACTCGTGCTATTTGCTGCTGGACACGGTATTAAGCAAGAGGTATCGTGCCGGCTTGCGGACCTACTTTAGAATCGAAACAATTCGCGGAAATATATTTCCTCTAAATTGGAAAAGGAACGACGGTGTAATAAACTTTACGGACTTTTCTTTTCGTAATTATCTTCGTGTTATCCTATTCTGAGAGTTTCCTAAATCCCGGATCACCGGCACGATTTATTCTCCCGACAGGTTGCGTTCATTTTTCATTTTCATACTTCAAACATGTCACGCGCAAATCGCTTTAACGCAAATGATCTTTCTTCTACTTCGTTAACTGAACCGCGACGTTCGCTGACAAGTATTACGAACGACGTAAACGCTCGAAAGAGTAATTCCATGGAATTACATTCAATAGAAAGGAGAACTGAACTGTTTTAAAGTGCTTCAGCATGAATCTTACATTATGCACGTTTACACCTTGTATCTTGCATCAAACGCGTTGCTTTAACTATGAACGAGATAGAGGAGAGGAAAGAGTTGAGAATTCAAGCCGCATGGGAAAGATCTTGAATATTGAAAAGATCTTGCTGGTAGGAGGGAACAGAAAAATATACGGGGAAGAAAATTCTTTGGGAAATGCAAATTACTAGGGGGTAGGTAGATATTCAAAGATATCGAATGTAAAGGGATGTAACAAAAGTTGAAATAAAAAATGTATTCTTCGATCTAGGAAACTTTCATTTTTCTATGAAGTAAATTGGATAACAATTTGGGGAGGAGTAATTGCAACAATCAATAGTGTCCTGAACTATCTTGAATAGTTTGAACGATTCGATTCAGAGGACCATCAGAGGGAAACTAAATTACAGAGCCACCTGTAACTACACGGTTTAACCTTCGAAAGGTATAAAGAAGGCTATCAAAAGTTTGGGGATATTTGCGGCATCTCTGTGTCAGGTGCGGAACCACCCTCGCGACTCGCAAAACGAATAAAACCTCAGATAAACAAAATAAAATTCCACGATAAATTTCTTCAAAATACAAAGAAACTCGAGATGACCCGTAGCTGTACATCACTGACGATCGTCTGTGAAGGTGGTTGAAAGAAAGCAACCAGCTCTAAACGGTGTTTTTCTCGTTGGCAGGACAGAATTTCAACGATATGCACGTGCGAGAGGAGGTCGGTTCGTCTCGCCTCTCGTTTCTTCGTAGCTGGTGCAACGGTGCACCCTTAATGGAACTCGCTCGGCTCGAGGCTCCGTTAATTAATTGTAATGCCAGGCCGATTCAGAAGCGCATAGCTTGACGGTCGAGAGTCGCCGCTGCAAGGGTGGTTCACCCTCGCGACCGTTGCTGCGGTGGGGAGATAGAGGATCCGCGGAGAATTACGCCCCCGCGGTAATTAGTACTAATAAACGAGGGGCATACGCGTGAGCTCGTTCCGATGTTTACGCGATGCCGAGGGGGGCAAATTATTTTTCCAAAGTGTCACTCCCCTCGTGCTTTTTCCTCTCTCGTTTCCACTCATCCAGCTTTTCTTCTCTCTCGTTTACTCGCGCGGACTCGACATAGGCAGCTTAGTCGCGTTCAACAAGGGGACACGATTAAACCGTGTCTCTTCGTGTTTGGATGTTGTCGGGCTTCCGATGTGTTTCGCGCGACAGACTACATAGCGCACCGGTGTAATGATAAAAAACAATTGAAAAATTTTAACTCTTACAACTAGGTAAAGAAAAATCCTGCGATAATCAACCTCGAGTCATTTCGAAGTTTCCATTTTCAGTCCTTCACGAAGTGGACGTTTTTCATCGAAAATTTTGCAAAATCAAACGACTCTGTGAAGCTTAATAAATTTTCATTTCTGACAAACTATGCGCGTTTCAATTCAATCGTATTGCTTTTCGCGATGTTACGATTGCTTTTCGCCCTGACAACGGGGACCCGTGCAATCGTCCGTTTCGAAACGGCAGCAATTTCATTCGATATCGTAAAAAACCATGAAACCGCGGTACATTCGATTCACGAGCGTTGTCCCGTTTCAATGCCACATTTCGTGGGCATTTTTATAACCGTGAACACCTGTTTTTTTTGTTTTTTTTTTAAAATACCTTCAATTTCCTTTGTATCATTTGTTCATCCTTTATATCCGTTTTTCTTTCAACCCAGTCATTCCATTAAACTATCGCATATTCTCTACGTTTATTTATTCTCGGTATAGGTTCACATTGAAGCTATAACAATTCGCGTAACGTCCATAAACTATTTCGTCGGAATTGGAGTACCGAACCGAGTATGTGGCCGAGAAACTTGCACGGTTATCTGTCCGTTATTTACTTTGTCAACAACCGGTGACCAATGTTGATTATCCCTTGAAACGTCTGACCGTTTTACGATGCGATACGACCCCCGATGGTAGACGCAGGATGAAATTGCTATTTACAGGACAATAATGGGGCCAGGCCGCGTACAAACCTCTAGCGCCGATAATAATATTCAATGTTACGCTAATAGCGTATTAATAACAGAAAGCTTTCCGACTTTAACGAGCCACTGTTCCGGCGACGTTAAAACATTTGATGGTTGCTTTGTGCCGTAAATTTTCCGGTCTTAGTCTTTTAACGAGCCTCGCGTTCAGCGCCGCTAGCGAGTAAATTTTCCGGTGTTTCGTGTTCCTTCTCTTTCCTCTCTTTTTTCTCCCCCCCCCCCCCCCCCCCTTCTTCTTCTTCCTCTTCTCTTTTACGAGATTTTTTTCTTAAGCGAGACCAGCTTTTCATTTTTACCTCGGCGAAAGAAAAAGAGAAAGAAAGAAAAAAAGAAAGGGGTAGTTCAACCCCGTTCCACTAGCATTATTTACGCTATAACTGGTAAAAAGAAGATAGAAAGGATTAACTTGAAATTTTGTTGCCCTTAATGGAGAGGATATTTCGGGAAATAATGCGTTTATTTTCAGAACGAGCAAACGTAGACATCGTCGTCGGAAGATACCATTGGTCAGACGCGATTTCGACGACTCGTCCGACGAGGTTGTTTCGTTGCACGATCGACAGCTGCGCTCGATCGAATTCTACGACATGGAACATAAGCCGAAGTATCTGGCGAACAAACGTGGCACCACGAGACACGGATACTCGAGCAGAAGACGAAGAGCCGCGACAGCACGGAAGGAACGCGTATGGGACGACGGGGTGATCCCGTACGAGATCGATGGGAATTTTTCCGGGGCGCACAAAGCCCTCTTCAAGCAGGCCATGAGACACTGGGAGAACTTTACTTGCGTTAAATTTGTCGAGCGAGTACCCACGGAGCATCCTAATTATATACTCTTCACCGAGAGACCGTGCGGGTGAGTTTGCCAACGGCTGCTTGAAAACCACCGAATAGTAACTCTCCTTTAAAAAGGAAGGATCAGTTGTTTCGAAAGTTCGTAGAGCAGTTTAATACCATCGAGGTAAAATCTAATCAAAGACGGTACTATGCGATTTTTACAGGACGTTAGAAACTTCCTTTAGTCGTTTCGTTTGTTGTATTCGTTAAGAATAATTAAACAATCCCGCAGATGCTGCTCGTTCGTCGGGAAACGAGGGAACGGTGCTCAAGCCATAAGCATCGGGAAGAACTGCGACAAATTTGGAATAGTCGTTCACGAGCTAGGACACGTGGTAGGTTTTTGGCACGAGCACACCAGACCCGATCGTGATCGTCATGTACAGATCATTCGCGACAATATCATGTCTGGTAAGTGGAATCCCTTTTTCGATTATAAAATCGTCCATTCGATCTTTCGAAACGTACACCCTCGGAATTCCCTCCAATAGCTATCCGACGTTCCAAACGATTCCCTCGTAACAGTTCCGATAACTCGAGTCAAACTACAGGGGATGGAAGTTCCCTAACCGTGTCTCGATGAAATCGACGAGCAACCGAATATTAATGATCTTTGCTAGCCAATTTAAACGTACTTCTATCGTGTCAAACGTTTCCAATGCTACGCGTTTCGCCAACTCTTCGACAATACCGTACACCCTCTGGATGTTTGGTGAACGTGATAAGGATGATAGCGGAAGACGCAAACCGAACGTGCTCGAATCGTGATTCTATCGTCGAACGGAAACGACGTCACGTTTGCCTTCGTGGCGAACGGCTTTCCGTTCCAGATTAATGGACCAATTTACCGAGGGTGCCGGGCAAATCTCACTAATCATTAGCGATGACAACTAATCGGGCACCGGTATTCTAATATTTACGCAATGGATGACAGTCCCCGGACACGTTGATCGCGTCCCGATTAATGGATACTCATAACGGGGGAATGGTAACGAGCTGTTTAATTAGCGGTACCCAACACCCACCCACCCACCACCACCATCTGTTTACGCTCTGAAATTACACCTTGAGCCGTGGACCCTCTGACAAAACGTCACACAGTATCCCGAAACTACCTGCCACAAGGCTAAATCTACTGTGCTTTCGTCCAGGCTACTGTTCGGCCATTTCGATGATCAAACAGCAAGTCGAAACGATAACGATGGAGTAACACTTGGTAAACGACCACCGGAATACCTACACGATTCCTTCTCTTTAATTAATTAGAACACCTATCGCGTCAGAAGCTGATCGATAATTAACACTGGAATCTATCATTCTTACAATCTTATGCTAAAAGGAAACTATTTCTAGGTCAGGAGTACAACTTCAACAAATTGACCGAGGAGGAAGTGAATTCGCTCGGATTGCCCTACGACTATGATTCGATCATGCACTACGCGAAGAACACGTTCTCAAGAGGCACCTATCTGGACACCATCCTTCCGATGGAAAGTCACGGAAAGAAACGTCCTGAGATTGGTCAAAGGCTACGTCTGAGCGAGGGTGACATCGCTCAAACCAACCTTCTCTACAAATGTTACAGTAAGTATCCTTAAAACAAAATTCATCGATCACCATTTCATTGTTCCTTTACGACAGAATGCGGGAGAACGTTTCAAGAAAACAGCGGAAGCTTCGGGTCTCCGATTCATCCGAACGGATCACCCTCGACAGAAGGTGAACGTTGCGAATGGAGGATAACAGCGACCCACGGAGAACGAATAGTTCTGAACATAACATCGTTGAACATACTTAAAAGCAATCTTTGTCGTAGCGATTACTTGGAGATTAGAGACGGATACTGGCACAAGAGTAAAGTGTTAGGTAAGCTGATAACAGGATCCCGATTTCAGTAATATTACATTAAATTCATTTAATCACGTCGCAGGTCGTTACTGTGGCAACGGTAAGATCCAGGATCCGATCGTGTCTACCGGAAGTCGAATGCTTGTTACATACGTGACATCCGGTCATCAGAGCAGCGGGCAGCGCGGCTTTACCGCGTCCTACGAGGCCGTTTGCGGTGGTGAAATCGAGCTCGACGACACTGGTCACCTCGAGTCACCCAACTATCCAGATGGTTACCAATCGAGCAAGGAGTGTGTGTGGAAGTTGTCGGTGCCACAGAATTTCCAAGTGGCGTTAAAGTTTCAGTCATTCGAGATCGAGAACCACGACAACTGCGTTTACGACTACGTCGAGGTCCGGGATGGTCACAACGCGGACTCTCCGTTGATCGGGGTTTACTGTGGCTACAAAATACCGCCGGACATCAAGTCCACTGGTAACAAACTTCTGGTGAAGTTTGTCAGCGACGGATCTGTACAGAAGGCTGGATTTTCGGCCACCTTCATGAAAGGTGGGATCGTCATTCGTATTCGATTGTTTTAACGCGATCAATTTCTTTATTCAGTGCCGTTTAAATAATGTTTCAGAGTTTGATGAATGCGTTCTGATCGAGCATGGCTGCGAACACAATTGTATCAACACTCTGGGTGGATTCGAATGTTCTTGCAATCCTGGTTACGAATTGCATTCGGATGGAAAACACTGTGAAGGTAAAAGTGTTCTCTTTTCTTCGAGTCTGATTTATACAATATTCGTCATTTAAAATCCCTGTTGACGTTAGATGCCTGTGGTGGAACGTTCGTCGATAGCAACGGAACCATCACCAGTCCATCGTTTCCGGTAACTTATCCAGGAAACAAGGATTGCGTGTGGGAGATCATAGCTCCGCCTCAGTATCGTATCATGTTGAATTTCACTCATTTCGATTTGGAAGGGAACAATGCTCGTCAGCAAGAATGCGAGTACGATTCCGTAGAAGTGAGCAGCAAGCTTGGGGATGATATTTTGAGGAAACACGGGATCTTCTGCGGCTCGAGAGTGCCGTCGTTAATTACATCCGAGGGAAACTTCATGAAGATAACTTTCACATCCGACAATAGGTACGATTTTAAATAAAATAAAATTAAATGAAAATTTCTTGGATATCATCCTTCTATTTATTTCCTTCTTCGTGGGTGATTGCAGTATTCAAAAAACAGGATTCGCTGCTGTCTTCTTAACAGACATGGACGAGTGTGCTAACAATAACGGTGGTTGTCAACACGAATGCAGAAACACGATAGGATCGTATCAATGTTCGTGTCACAATGGCTTTACGCTTCACGAAAATGGCCACGATTGCAGGGAAGGTGGTTGCAAGTACGAAATCGTTGCACCCATGGGTACGATAACGTCGCCAAACTATCCAGACTATTATCCTGGTCTCAAGGATTGTGTTTGGCATTTTGTTACCAAGCCTGGACATCGTATCAAGCTGGTTAGTTCCTTCATATTATATATAATCTCTTTATTTCTTATTTATTATTCGATCAATGATCAAAGAAATTTACATTGGATATCTCGTAGGTCTTCAAAGTCTTCGAAATGGAATCCCATCAAGAATGCAATTACGATCACATTGCAATTTATGACGGCGACTCGCCGGATAGTCACGTTCTCGGTAAATTCTGCGGTACCAAAGAACCTCATCCAATCTTGGCGACCGGAAATCAAATGTACATGGTATTTAAAAGCGATGCATCCATTCAGAGGAAAGGCTTCCTCGCCACTCACAGCACTGGTAAGATGGTCTACAATCTTCAACGAAGATGCGATGTAGATACACTTCAATTTCAAATCTTGCAGCTTGCGGTGGACATCTCGTTGCAACGAGCGAGGTGAAGCATTTGTATTCTCATGCCAAGTACGGTACTCATAATTACGACCATAGAACGGACTGTGATTGGGCCATTGAAGCACCGCCTGGCAAAAATGTCCATTTAACTTTCGTCACGTTTCAACTCGAATCGGAAAGCGAGTGCAATTACGATTTCGTCGAGGTTTATTCCGGTTTGGATACATCAGGTCTTCTTTATGGACGATATTGTGGAAATAGCGTGAGTGTAATTTTACTTTTCACATTTCATATTTTATTTAACTGTAGATCATCGTGTAATTTTAATTAAATTCCAGAACACCACCGACTTTATTTCCATTAACGAAGCGTTGTTAGTGCGATTCAGGACGGACGACACGATATCGAACAAAGGTTTCATGGCGTTTTTCGTGGCGGTCGATCGACAGGACAGCGGTGAGAACTACGGTGGTTCAGAAGACGAAGACGCGGACGTGTCAGGCCTCGCGAATCGATTGGGCTCCGAGTTCCACATCGGTGCAGCCTTGCAAAGCAGCGATCGAAGTGAAAACGAGTAAAATCAAATATGATCGCTCCGAGTGGAACGCGTGTGCCGTTTCAACGTATTGTCGTAGCCCAGACACGTGTATGTGGATCTTTCTCGATCGTCGAGGCCGTGAAGCATTGTTCTTCTATTCTCTAAGTACATTCGAACGAATCGACAATGTTTGTCAGAGGACAAGGATAATTTATTCCAACAGTGAATTAACAGCGCTAATCGTTTCGATTTAGCTTGTACGATTCCGAAGTTCGGCCTATATCGGCCCAATTGTGCCATTCTATGTTTAGATAGATCGCATTATAATATATTACCATTCATAAATTCCATGCCCAGCGAGAAAGAAAAGGTAAAAACGATTACACGACCTACCGGTTGCCAAAGTAATATTCTATGTTTAATCGATGAGTAGGAAAAATCAGAAAGGCATAAAAGAAGTTAACGAGAAACGATGATACACCTTGTTTGATCGACGTTGTTTTCTCAAACACTGCCCCGAAGCAAATGAATTGATCGCGTTTTTGTGTTTTCGAGTTCAAAAGCATTTCTTGTTTTTTCTCTTCCGACAAAAGTGCTAAAGTTTCAGCGGAACGTTTTCGTGTAAATGGCTCTAAGTATCGACAAGAAAACCACGGCAAACTTAAACGAGAGTATTCGAAAGGTAACCGAGACACGTTGCCAGACCTTTTCGCTCAGATATGTTCGATGGAAATGTTCCAAGCGACAGTTCGTGCAAAATACTCGAATAATCTAGATATAAATTTAGGTATAGAGCTGTTCGATATCGAAGTCAGCGATTTAGAAATTTAAAGGAGAACCTTGGATCGAAACATCCTCGATGTTCCTCCTCTCGAACACGTTTATTGTACATAGAGAAACAAAGATTTAGATGTAGACGTCGTGCCGTTTTATATAATATAGTCATAGGATCCATGATCGATCAGGTGTCTTGCTATCGAGTGGATTTTACAGATTAACGAGTTCTCAACCCTGTACTTTCGTTTCTGTTTCTAAAGATATAACAGGAATACTACAGAGTAATTTGTTGCAGAGTAAACTTATTTCGATCGGCTGGTCTAGCGGATTGTATTAGATAGCGATTAAAGATCACCGATATTCTAATGTATACTTGGAGAAAGTACAGCTAGAGTAACTAGAAGCATCTCAATGATTTCGTCGTAGCTTAACGAAAAAATACGAATCAAATGTTACAAAGTTAATTAATCATATCTTGGAGGTAAACGATGATAAGATCGAGTACGTATTCCTTTTGAATCGATCGAGCTACGAAACGATACAGATCTAACTATATCAGTGAAGAAGTTTCATTCGAACAAACAAGTTTCGAAATTATCCAAATTTTTCATCATTTTTCTACGTAACACACTGCCTTGTGTACATGATTTTCGTGATGGTACACCAAAGTTACTTCGAAAGGAACCTTACTCTCGTTTGTTACATTGTAACGCGACTACATGGCCTATATCGATCGAACACATTTAATATTCGAAACATGAGTAAAAAAGGAAATGAGTTACGCGTATAATGTTGACCCTTCGAAAATTCGTACGCCTAAGATACACGTATAGATGATAATAATAACAATGATAATATCTTATCTATTGTCTGACGGTAAGAAACAATATTAAGCGCCGCGTCAAGTTCCTTTTTGTAAATTATATGTGATTTATTTGTTCTCAGAAATACACGTTATAGGCACTCTATATATATTACTGAGCAACTATATACAACTAATACACGCGTTTCTTCTATTGAACAATATCCCTCCTACCTGAAATTATCCATTCAATCTTGTCTATCCTGTATATACAAAAAACATATCAAACTAAATGACCGACCCACGTGCAATGGAAATAAGTATGATCGATTCTAACGTTTACGGTCTTAATTTGTGTAGTGCGTACGGTTAGAAACAGGGTCTAAAATAGTGGCTGATGTCATTTTAACGATCAGTGATTATCACAGGTAATAAGTTCAAGAACAATCAATCATTAGGTATAGCAGAATGAATTGTAATTTGATCCTACAGGTAAGTGTCTAACGCGATTTTCAAGCAAATGATTTTATTAACACTTAAAATTATTATCTGCGAGCTCTAATGAATATGCTAAACTGAGAATACTAAGAAAATTAACTCTTCAAAAAATGTCGTTATTTTATTAATAAAGGAAGGTTGAATTTAACTTTGCACCTCTGTCTAACTATATTTGGTGAATGAGATCGCTACAAATGCAAGGACAATAAAGTGCGTGGTCGGTCTGTTACATCATCGAGCACAGTTGTGCATCGACGTACCGATTATGTTAATATCGACGATCAGCTTTTATGATCATACCCGAGGAAGCTGTTTCCAGAGTTACCTCAACAAAGAACCTTACTCAACTGGAAACGAGTATGTTTTATCTTAAAAATAGGACACCGACGTGAGTTAAAATTTTAACGAGGATATCCAGGGAAAGTCGAGTCACTTACGTCATTCTTATCTCAGACCAATGATATAATACTCTGCACAAAAACAGAATTAAATAAAAGCGTAAGAGTGCTTTTCCTTATAAACTTGGCAATGTAAAACTTGGGAAAAATTCATTCAACCTTCCAGGAGTTGCATAAAAATAGAAGTTCGTTAACCCGTTTCGGTTGAGTGCCATAGCGTTTTTACCATTTTTATTCCATCGCTTTGCAGGTATTAATAAGTACTGTTGATGGTACTTAAGATACTTAAGATTGAGAACGTAACATCTTTCACAACCAATGTTTTTCTACCTGTTCCATTTAAAGTATGACGACTTGCAAGTTGGACATTGGTCTTGTTTTTAAAAGAAGAAGGAACAGACTGATGCTGTAACGACCCTCTCCAGGGACTTTGCAATTGTGTTCTGCATGCACATCGTACAGATGAGTTATTTTCAACGGCAATAGTCGAGCCCCACCTTGCAAGTCGTCTTCAACAGCGGAACGTCGCGATTTACCGCTTTCCTTAACCGACAACCGACCGTCTGTGACCAATTTTAGAAAAAGTGAGCGGCAGTGTCGCACATGCGCTCTCTGGCGACTCTCGTCCTTCCTTGGTACTTCTTCAAGTCGAGAAACGACTAAAAAGGAACGCCTTTGCAACGACTTAACCCATTCGAGCCTAAAATTTTCCTTGAAAACCTATCAACTACATCCTTTCATAATTGGTCTTAAATGATATTCATGTCCTTGTCGTTTCAAGGAATCTGATTCCAGGAGTGGTTTCATATTTATGAAACAGTCCTGAACAAATGATGAATTATAAAATATAATACTTTAGGTTAAAACAGTACAAGTTTGCAGTTTCTGGCAGCTATGTGTGCAAATTTCGAATAGAAACCGACGTAAAGTCTATTTTTAACCAATGGACAAGTTCAACGCCCATATGCAACCGCGGCAGTTTTGCAACTAAGAATAAATGTCGCGTTGTTTTGCATTTCTCTGCCGCTCCCTTTTCATTACGAGTAGCAAAGAATTTTAAATAAATTCTTAGATATCGTGTATGCGATTATCTTTCTTGTAAGTATCAAGAATGGAAAGAATAATGGAAATAAGAATGGAAAATAATGTGTGAGACTCACGGCAGGAGAAAAATACAAACACCTCTTTACACTCCTCTGCAACTTTCTCTTGAATATCTTTTTAGGTGTGGGACAGGAAATTCTGATGATCTTCTCTTTGAAATGGAACATTTCATTGGGTGTGGAAAGTCACATGTATTGTTTTTGGTAGCTAGAAGAATATTTGAACTTTAGTATCAAAATAGAGATCCGTGAACTGTAATAACCGTGAAGCTAATTACAATAATTAATGATGATATGACGTGTTCGTGTAATTAACGAAAAGAATGCGAGTGTACAGCAACGCCAGGTATAACCTATTTAGCGTGAAATAATTACCACGTCGGTTTCCAATAATAGCAAAACTAAATATAAGATAAATGTACAAAAAGTGATTTCTTTAAAGATTGAAATAATTACTGATTATTCAAATTCCGTTATGTATTAATTTACATCCCGTTGCATGTATAGGTTCTGTTACACTCTGAATAAATTATCACAACGATCACGTTTCTTTAATACAAATTTTCTATTGAAAATCAATAATGATGTAATCAATGAATAGGTCGTTACATACCAATTTTCTTGCTACACCCAAGGAAATTTGTAAAATCAATAAAATAAATGTCGCATGACGGGAACTCTGGTACTATATGTTGTTAGCAGGAAACATGCGCGAACGCGATCTAGCGTTCTGCGGTCATCCGTTGACCAATCAGAGTGGAGGATGAGGTCACTGCGAACCAATCGTTGAGCGCCAAAAAAGTCGATAATCAGGGGTATAAGACACGGTGGAGAGCGTCGCTCGCGCATTAATCGTTTGGTGTTCTACCGTGCATCGTGTGTCGTTGATAGCAGAAGCTCCATTACTTGCTCCAACTATCGACTACTCATTTTTTACAAGAACGTAAAACACACCTTTAGACTTCAAAATGGTGAGTATAATAATTCTTGAAAAATTTCGCATACCGACTGTAACGTTCACTTAGCTGAATTCATGGAGGAACACGGCTGCTCTTCGACGTATCTACCGGCCGGCTCCGCCCTTTCCGTTATGATTCACATTTAGCCTCTATGTAGATACCGTTAAAATGGTTGAAGCGTCTATATTTTAGTCATAACCTTCCCATTTATATCGTTTTAAGAGAAATTCATTATGAAAAATTTCTTGGATACCTGAATGTAGAAATATGAGATTTCTTTGTTTCGCGTCCATTAAGAATGATGGAGGGAAGTGCGCGTCGTTTCTGCTGACGTGATCGATGACCTGAAATAAATTATCTCATGCAGTTTTGTCAAATGTTGTATATGAATAGTCTGAAATATTAATAAAATTAAACGCGATGCACTCTATAATTTTTTTTGCAAATTTTTTGATAATGTTCTGTTTTGAACAGAAATTGAAATTTTGTCATAATATTTTTTTCAGCGTGAATGTATCTCAATCCACGTTGGCCAGGCTGGAGTCCAAATTGGTAATGCCTGTTGGGAATTATATTGTCTGGAGCATGGCATTCAACCTGATGGTCAGATGCCGTCAGACAAAACTATTGGAGGAGGTGACGATAGTTTCAACACCTTCTTTAGTGAAACAGGTGCTGGAAAACATGTTCCTAGGGCTGTTTTCATCGACTTAGAGCCAACAGTAGTCGGTATGTAATTTTGGAATTACAAAAGTTCCTTATACCTTGTTGCAAAATTTTTCATTTCAATATATTCGTTTTTTCAGACGAGGTTCGCACAGGCACCTACCGTCAGCTCTTCCATCCAGAACAACTGATCACAGGCAAAGAAGATGCTGCAAACAATTACGCTCGCGGTCATTACACGATCGGCAAAGAAATCGTCGATCTTGTTTTGGACCGTATTCGCAAACTAGCAGATCAATGTACTGGACTCCAAGGTTTTCTAATTTTCCACTCCTTTGGAGGTGGTACCGGCTCTGGCTTTACATCACTGTTGATGGAACGTCTGTCGGTGGATTATGGAAAGAAATCGAAGTTGGAATTTGCAATTTACCCAGCACCTCAAGTATCAACTGCTGTGGTTGAACCTTACAATTCAATCCTTACCACTCACACCACTCTAGAACATTCCGATTGTGCATTTATGGTCGATAACGAGGCTATTTACGATATCTGTCGCCGTAACTTGGACATCGAGAGACCAACGTACACCAACTTGAATCGGCTAATTGGTCAGATCGTTTCTTCGATCACAGCCTCGCTTCGCTTCGATGGAGCGCTTAACGTTGATCTAACGGAATTCCAGACTAACTTGGTACCTTACCCCAGAATTCATTTCCCTCTGGTTACTTACGCGCCGGTCATTTCTGCAGAGAAGGCTTACCACGAACAGCTGTCGGTCGCAGAAATCACGAATGCCTGCTTCGAGCCAGCCAACCAGATGGTAAAATGCGACCCCCGGCATGGAAAGTACATGGCGTGTTGTATGTTATACAGAGGCGACGTTGTACCTAAGGATGTTAATGCAGCCATCGCGACAATTAAAACAAAGCGTACCATCCAATTCGTCGACTGGTGCCCGACTGGTTTCAAAGTTGGCATTAATTATCAACCACCCACCGTTGTACCTGGTGGTGATCTTGCTAAAGTACAACGAGCTGTCTGCATGTTGTCCAACACTACTGCTATCGCTGAAGCTTGGGCCCGACTTGACCATAAATTCGACCTGATGTACGCCAAGAGAGCATTCGTACATTGGTATGTCGGCGAGGGTATGGAGGAAGGTGAATTCTCTGAGGCGCGTGAAGATCTTGCTGCTTTGGAGAAGGATTATGAAGAAGTTGGTATGGATTCCGCCGAAGGTGAGGCCGAAGGAGCCGAAGAATACTAAACAGACTCGTCAAGATTTTTCCATGACGTCCTATTCGAATAAATAAAATAAAAGAATTTGCAATCGTTAGTCTTGATACATTTTACCCATCCTATGTATACCTTCTTCCTGAACGAGTTAGTTACATTTGTGGAGTTGAAATTGTTCAAACCAAGAAAAAATGTAATTACCTTGACGCTAAAGAAACTTCATTAGTTACTTGCAATACATTGCAACATATACGCGTAAGGATTGCATGACTACTGGATATCGGGAAAGACTTGTGGAAATATAAGAACGCGGAAATTTGTGGTTTTATAAACGTTATCAATACTTGGCAATCAACAACTGATGTAGGCAAAGTTTATATTAACGTTTCTATTTGTTTTGCATGCGATTTATTAAATGTTATTTGAAATAAAGAATTAGATTCTCTCATTAAGTCTATTACAATTTTTAAATACATAAGAATTAGCTACATATTTTCTATTCTATAACAGATTAATGTCTATTAACGATACTTTTTCTCATTCTTTTTCATTTTGTTTATACTTATCTTTATCTGTTCAAATAGTTTAAATGTATCATCTCGAACGGTTCAAGAATTCTCGATTGGAATAAGTTTCAAAAATAAGCATACTCTCATGTGTATTCCGCACTACTTCGCCTAATAATTTATCACGGTTTGTATGCTCTTATTGTGAATACAAGAATATCTCTTCTAATTCCTATCTTAGTTTCGTACGCATCAGTTCATCTCGCTTTTATTTTAATAGCAAGAATAGATATCTTACTAAGAATCCGCCATGAACCGCAGCTTTACACTTGCCGTGGACGCGCATGCGCAGTATGGCAGTGCACGTTGGTGCATGTCGGTGTGCACAGTGGTGTGGAAGGCGGTATTTTGTTAAAAAAAAAAAAAAATTGGCGGTCTGGTTGGGTTAAAAATTGTGCAAATGTTATTGACAAGTAATTAAGAGTGCACCCAAATGGATCGACCATCTGTTCCTGATTACAACGAGTAATATGAGTGAGTGAATCGAATATTACTTAAAATTTTCAGTAACGTTTCCCTCCAGAAACAATGTAAAAAGCTTTGCTCGTATATCGATATAATATTGCATCGATACATTGAAATGAAATGACATTGTATAATAAATACGGTTCATTAAAAACGTATTTGAACAAATAATGGCTTGAGACAGGTGTGTCGATGCCGATATATTGTTTGCATATTCACTTGCACGGCAAGAAGCTGTGTGTCTTGGATGTATGCATCGGAGTACAGCCCCTCCAACTCGAGTTCTTGTTGCAACGTTCTCCGGTTTCCTCATTCACATTTTTTTCTTCTGTGCTGAATAATACATTTAGATTAAAATCATTTGAAAGAATGTCCACTTTATTTCATAACGAATTACGATAAAAATGAACGAGTATTCCGGTGAGTGACGTGAATGTTCGAATGACTTAGTCGATTCCTTAGTGTGCTTATCTCATAACTTAAGCCGAAGCATAAATGAGTTTTGTATTTCTGATAAAACGAGTACACTTCGATATTTTTTACGCGTATGAAATGCGTACATGTAACATGTGTTCAATACTGATAAATGCTGTTACCTACACGTGTGTTCGACCAATGCGTTGGAGATAATTCACGTAAAACAAGCTTAGCGTCGTGTTGTCTCTAATGCACTGAAATCATTTTTTTTTAACTTAGGAATTCAAAGAATGGTATGCAAAAGTTATTTTCATCGGTATTTTTAATACTTCTCCAAATGTAAGACACAGTATCTTGTGTGTGATAAATGAACTGTGTAAACAGTATTTGACAGTGATGAACTGTAAGAAAGTATGTATTCTCACAAAAAGTGAATGTGAGGTTAGATTCTTGTTTCATTTGTTGTCTTACTGTAAACTTAAATGCAATAGAGGGCAACTGCTTTCATTTTCAACTATAAACAATGAGGGAGTTCATATAAATGGTTCCCCTGTTTTGTGCTATTATTTATCAAACTCTTGATACTATGCTGTCTTAAAATGATGTCAGAACATTCTTAAAGGAACATGTATTCTATAAATGTTCACTTTAGTAGAATTTTACACTTAATGATTGTTATTATTAACTTTGTTTTTGCATATTTACAGACCACTGCAAAGCCATGAAGATGAGCTTCTCCTTATCTTCGCTTCAACCGCTTAGCCATGGCTTAGATAAGCATGGCAATGCGGGGACAGCGATAGAAAGACCATATAACAGTCTCACAAAGAAAAGGTTTGTTTATTTTATATTTATTGCTATTTATTTATGTGTTTCAACTCTTTGAATTACATTAATAGGAAAGATCCAAAGCAACTTTATAGTCAACGTTTGTGGGCAAATCGTGAGGATTGTAAAGATGACTTTTGGGCAGCGATAAGGTCCAATTATGATTATATTATGGACACTAATTTAATAGATAGTTGTAAGGTATGTATTTCATCCTCAACATTTCCAGCTGTAAACTAAGCATGGGATGTAGCTGTTTGCATTTGATTTTAACTTTAATAGGAAGCTAATGGTGAATTAAGTTGGGACGAGGCTGATGTATCTACTCAGTCATGGAGCTTTAAGGAAATTAGTAGTCAATTCTCAGAATTATATTCATGGCTGAGGGTTCTTGAAGAACTGATTTACTGTAAAGAAGAAAATCTGTTGGATAAAAGTCTGCGTGCGGTACGTAAATTTGTCTCGCATTTGACGAGATTAAAATGAGAATAATTGAAAAAGAACAAAATGTGCGCTTTAGGCTCACATGGAGGAGCTGCGACGTAGGGCGTATAGACGAAAGTTATTTAATGAACAAGCTGGAAAATTAGTGTCACGAGCCCCTGCTTTGAAAGATGAAGTGGCGTGGCGTGTTGACCATTTAAACGCAAAGTGGGAATTAGTTGAGCAAATTATGGCACCTGTTGAGAGGCCTGTATCTAATCAGCAAGATATGTCAGCAGGTAATTATTGCGATAGAATTCTTGTACAATACCAATCATAAACATCGATGTTAATAACGGAGAATGTTACAGATTTTGAACATGAAGTAAAGTGTTTGAGAAAATGGCTTCGTGAGATGGAGTCGCGTCTTCAGCCTTTGAGTTTCCACATGGACTGGACCTTAGCGGAATTGGAGGAGAAAGCAGTGGAACATATGGTGAGTAAAAAAACAGCAATTGCTTACAAATTATATCCTTGTAGTGCATGTGAATGCTTAGATTTTCATTTGAACATTGATAAAAACGCGAGTAGAATACCGACCGAGTTGTGCTGGTAAAATCACAGACGAGCTTGTCTACGATAAAATACCGACAACTAGTTTGGCTGAGAATTCAATATACATTTTACATTGCTTAGTGTTGATAATATCACGATCTGTAAGAAGGATACCGTTTCATTTTTGTTACTTTTATCACGTTGCATGCATTATAACCCTTTGCACATAAATGGTAAAATGTTCTACTCGCGTTAAAAATGCATGAAAGTTCCTTATTTTATGAAAAATATAAAAAGTTTTGAATGCGAAAGTTTTGTCGCTCTCTGCTAGGTGATACAAGTAGTGCCGGTTTTTGAAAACGCGCATTTATGCAAAATTAAAAAAATAAGACTTTTAATATTTTGAGCTTATTTGGAGTACTATAATGTTCTCCCTTATTACTGTACGAATTAAGTGATTATTTTGATCGCGAACTTGTGCCATAAATACACCATTATCGCGGAAAATTAGCGTTATATAACAGACGTTTCATTCAGTTTTTACCGCTAATGAAAGGATATATTACTGAATAGCAAAAAATTGTAATGAATACGACCGTTTGTTTTTTCCGCCTCAGACAGTAGTAAAAGAGAGTAATTTAGAACGATTTCATTTCCCGGTGTAAGAGAAACGTGTAAGTTTCTCACGGATTCCGCGATAAGTGGTGAATTGAAGATAAATCGACGTTTAACTGGGTCTGTAGTATAGTTGACTTCCCTTTTAATCATTATTTCCTTCGTACTTCGAACATACTAAAAACCGTGGCACAATTTAATTCTAAAATCGAGCATCTATGAAATCGAAGCATCTCGTTCGAATAATTTAAATTTAGCTCTTCACGTTGGTGCGAATAAATTTGTTTATACCTTCCTCTAGTTCGTTGCTCTCTTGCAACACCCATATGGCACGCGTGTTTGTTTTAACCCAAAATTCCTTTGCTAACACGAAACCCGGAGCTAATTTTGCCCTGTCGATCAGCCTATGCTTTATGGTGATTCTATAAATTGCGAGCTTAAAAAATAATCAAGGTTGAAACGTGCTTCAAAAGGGTCCAAAGTCGGGATCGAAATGTCACGTAACTCGATTAAAATTTACAATTATTTCTTCGTCAAAACACGAGGAAAGGTAGAATAAAGTACCAAACGGTTCGATTCAAATGTGACTTTCAGTTCGCTATTAGTTTATCGGGGGATACTGCTTATCTGCTAGCAAGTTCACGGCTAATTAATTTCAAGGAATACATTGTTCGAGCGCGATACCGTAAACGGCAAGGATTTTTCCTCGCGTTATCATAGCATACCATTTAAATCGGATCGTAAATGTCATTAATTAACACATTGTCCATAGTTTTACTACCCAATGTATTCGGATATCGAATGTTGAGTGAAAGATAAAGCTATTAATTTATCATACACGCGGCTCTTCGATTCAATAGGGAATAAAATGAAAGTCGCTATTAAGGCCGCGTAAGCAGAACAGTAAAAGGAGAAAAGAGACCAACAGGCATGATAATGATGCATATACAGTAACGAATGATAATTTATTTTACCTCGTGTATTTATTGCACGTCGTTGCGTGTCCAATTGCTGATATTCACGTGTTCGATCGGCGGAGAATTTTAGTTGACGAAGATTGATGGCGATCCTTTCCTCGTTCGATGAAAATATCCCTGTCAATCGGTGTTTCGTTGTTTCAGAAGGAACATTGATACATCATAGGTTCGTTGTTAATTATCCTTTGTACAGTACCGCGCATAGTACGCTCGTTCTTCTTCGGACTCCCGCCTTTCCCCCTCGGCGTTCGCGAGGAGAATGTCGATGGAGGGGAGAAGGCTCCGCGTATATAGGCCTGTGGCTCCCCACCACTGGCATTTACGCGGGAAAATTTGAATAGATACTTGTGCTATTTATAGGTTTTGCGAATTTCTGCTCCCTCTATAACGCCATTTTAGAAGTAGAAAATATGGAATTGATGAATTTAGAAAATTTCTGATGTTACTAAATTTTTGTTTTATAATTTCAAATTATAAAAATATAGATACATATATTTAACTCGACAGCTGTGCCATTTTCTTTCTCTTTGCGTGCTTACATCACAATTTCTAATCTATTCCTGGAACGATATCCTAACGAAAAAACATGAGTTAATTGAAAGAAACGGCCGAGATTTCAATTTATGTTCAAATGTATTACTTAAAACAGTTCAAACGCTTCCGGATAAGTTGAAAACATCCGGGTGTAGATATAGATTCATTCATTACCACGATTACGAGGGTTCATTCCGTGATTGTATCCGTCGTTGAACATTTTTCGCATAAATTTTCGCGCAAATAAATTTGAATTACTTCCGTAATTAATATCTGTTAAACAAACCTTTCGCTTCCGTCTCTTATCTATCCTAAATAACACGTTTCGACGAAATTTTTATTTATACATTTTCTGTTTCTCTGAATATTTTAAACGATACCCGCGAGGTGAGATCAATAAATATTAATACTAAAAGAATTTCTTCCGCTTCGACATTTGTTTCCTCTTGATTTACATACACGCGAAGGAGGACTCCTCTTACTTTCTTTCGTTTCCGCGGAATCGATGCTTGACCTCGGGTAAAATGAAATTTTCCCGTGATCTTTCAACCTCCTCGCACCTCGTATAAATTATACCTTGCATCGTCTGGAAGAACCAATATTACATTATTTACACGCGTCGTTGAAAGGTTTATGCAACGGGCAAACGAGGATTCTCGTTTTATCGCATTTCAGATTATACGCGTGTTTAAGTTTAAAACGATGTGAAAGTGTCGTTATTATTATTATACGCGTCTGAATCGGATGTGATAAATCGTTGAACGCATGGAACAAGATTCATTTTTTTCCGACAGTTGTTTCCGAATTGGCCATTGATCAGATTAATTTGTAAGCGATCGTGTTGCCGACGTCCAAGCAGGTTGCTTGTAAATCAGCAAAATACGTTGAAAGTGATTGGTGTTTTCATCGTTCGGATGTAACTTTCATTTAGCTGTCATAGTGAAAGCATCTATGTCTCGTGCGGAACATTAAAATTTGAATTATTAACGATAAGGCTGTTGAAATATTTTCTCGCGTTACTTTGTATCGAGTAGTTAAGAGATCGATTAATTAACGATAGAAAATTTCTGTTCTTCTAATTCAATGTTCCTTAAACTTTCTTAGCTAAAATTCTTCATTCATTATAATTTCGTAATACGTCGAAGGAATTGTCGAAAGTTGATCTGATTAAAAGTATTATTTCACTTGATAGTTCGGATGTAGGAGCACGTAGGATGAGAAAAATCATGGGACGTGGTAAGTTTGACACGTTGCAAGTCGATAGGATTATTTACTTCGCTATGCAAGCAGAATGCTAAGGTGTTGCATTGATGCTTCGCTGGTCTGGCACTGCAATCCATGGGATTGAATTTCCATG